AATAAACGCGATCTAAACCCAAAAACGTTGATTATGAATCGATCCAAATGTCGGCGTTTATGCTCTCGACACGTTTGGCGAGTCGCGCGTGTGATCGTCGATTAGTTTTCAATTCGTGCGCGGGCAGGGCGGTGGGGCGAAGTGATTTACGCACGCCGCTGTGACCCCGAGTTCGATTCCCGTCTGAGCTGAGGGGGGAACGTCGGTGGCGAGTGACGTCCGAACAAATCCTCGGCTTCCTCGAGGTCGCTTTAAAAATGTGACACGTGGTGCAGTGTGCAATGTAAACATGAGGTTTTATGAGGCCACACCTTGCGCTGATAATACTTAGTGAAGCTGAAACCAAAATCGTCTCGCACGGACGATCTTTACTTGGAAATTTTTTGTTACACGTAAACCCAGAAGAGTGGCCGGACAGAGGTTACGGTTTTTACGTATTTCACAACGGTGACAAAACGAAGCCTGCCCACTTGCTCGCGTGGCTATCGCTTGGGCTAGGGGAGTATGTCCGTCGATGAATCTCCGATGTAAACATATACGTTACCCCCCCCCCCCCGCCTCTTGATTTCCCGCCCCTCACCGCGCTCTTTAGCTCAGGTACAGCAACCCAAGTAGCTTCACAGCGACTGGAAAAAAAATCACAGTGCAGCCTGGAAGAAAAAAACTACTGGGTGATGTTTCGGGCAATGGCCTGCACGGATGCGCTGTATGGAAGCCCTGTAGCCGACTGAAACAGAGTCATTTCGCAGTTTTCGTGTGTTCAGTTCAGTCGCGACATCAAACGACTCGACAAGCCATCGTGTCGTTGCACACCGATGAGAATAAGAATAAAAAAAGTGCTGAAAAAAAACCCATCAGAAACTTGTCGAGGCTTGTTCGTGCAGGAAATGCAGGGAAACTGCAAAAGCGTGTTCGATTTGGTATTTTGGAATTTTGCTTTAATGACTTCCCTGGGGGATGCCCTAACAATTAAGTGCCTTGTACGTTTCAGGTACAACTGCGTTTTGTAAAATAAATAAATAAACGACTTGACTTTGCGTCCCAATAATACTGCGATTGTTCCGAAGCGCTGGTTTTCATTATGTTACTTAAATTTTTTGCGCCATCGTTTCCTTACGTACGTGTTCGGAATTTTTCTATTCTCGCTATTTCGGTTAATCCGCTATTGATGTAACATGTATGCGTTTTTACAAACGTTATTGATTTCAACTCTGCTACGACTCCCGAGCCATTGCCAACCCCACACTGTGACCAGCTTGGTGAAGTATGGTCAAATAACCTTGCTCAACACCCCCACCTGAGAACCCACACGGGCGTAGGAGAGGCGCTCATCCAGCAGAAGATTGACAAAAGGGCTGTACGTATGTTAATTGTCACAAAATGCATGAACAGAAGGGTTACTGTGCTGTTGAGGTATTTATCCCCATCTGCTGCTTAGCCCCAAGCTTAAGTCATTGGTTTAGTATGTACTCTGCTCACTATTCGTCGCCTTCCGCTTAGCGCCGTCTTACCGACTACACAGAAAGGCGGTCACAGACACACACAGGAGTGCAACCGTTCTATGTAGCTGGTAAAATAAAAACAAAATTGTTTTAGTTGTAGTTCTAGAGTTACTAACACAACGACACACACGTATCTCTCCATACGTTAGTAGTAGTTTGACGTTAGGATACACGTACAATGCAGTCATGGTGACGTTGAAAGGGATGAATATGCACACATCTATTTCTCTAAAATCAGCTCAAGCATCCAGCAAATCACGTGACCTCAACGTGGCCACACCCACTGACGAACCCCTCTCCCTGCCACCCACTGTGAAAACAGACGCTGCTCCTCCCTCTGTGTGGCAGCATCCAGGCCCTCATGCAGCCTCTTCCTCACCATTCTTCTATTTTCTGAGCCTTTTTTCCCGTTCATTTTTTTCATTCCTTTACCTCTTATTTACCTCTTGTTACTTTACCGCTTCCTTTTTCCATTCTTTCTCTTCTCTCCCTTTCACGTTCCTTTTTCTTTTTCCGTACATTCTGTCCTTGAACTTTACTCCCCTGCTCCGTAGTGTGCCCGTGGATGTTAACAACATATGAAAGTAATAAAAATAAAACATAATAAAATAATACTCACGACGTTTCAGCCACAACGCAAGCAGCCGTCCTTGCGTTGTGGCCGAAACGTCGTGATAATTATTTTATGATGTTTTATTTTTATTATTTTATTATTTCCCTTCTCTACGTGACTTTACCGAAAGAACCAAGAAGATGAATCCCTGCAGTCACGAAAGCTTTAAATCGAAATTCAACACGTGAAAACTGTCATAATTCAGTAGACCGTGTCTCTACTCGGCCAAACGATCACTCCATAAAAACATTTTGTATGCTTTCCAGGTCCCGGTAATGCTCTCTCAAGGTCAGGTCATACTCTCAAAAAACCCCAACTTGCATTTTCACAAGCGGATATTTATTGCCAACTGTTGGTGAATTGCCCATCATTGTATTACTTTTGGTTCCCCAGATTTAATTGGATTAAATACGAACAACTTTGAAATAAATGAAGATTTGTGTGCGATGATCACAGGACAAAGAGAGCAGCATTGTACAGAACTGTTGCTGCGCATTAATGGCGCAGCTTCGGCTCTTGCGTTTGGGACCTGAGAAAGAGACAAGGCAACGGAATTTGTGCATGCGCACGCACGAACACGCACATGTGCGCGGAGGCGTGTGTGCGTTCGTGTCGCTCTCTAGGCCCCGACGAAACAGCAAAGCCCTGGCGTGGCAAACAGAGCCTCAGATGACAGCCGGGAGTTTCGACACGTGTTTGTGCAATCCCGCCTTCGTTAGTCAGGCCTTTCTTTCCAAACAAGGTTCTTGGTTTCTGGTTTCCGCTCGGCATATTTTCTCGCCGACGGCTTTCCAACAAAAATGTTTTGCTCGTGTCCCTGGCACAAAGCGCGGTTTGTGGAGCTCGAGGAGACCTTATGGAGCGCGCGAGGAAGTTCCTTGAGGCTTGATGTCGATGTTTTGACAACTGCCTCGGTAAGAGTTCAAGCATTTAACCAACTGCCCGAGACCTGGCCCGCGGAGCCACTTGCCCCCGCACCGATGGCACACTCGCATTGCGAGTCAATCAAGCTCCACGTGCACGGCCAGGTGAGAGCATCCTTCAGAAAAAAATGACAAAAAAAATAACAACTTGACTTTAAAAAAAAAGTCTAAATGTCAGTCTCTTCAGACCAGCGCAAGCATTGGGCGGCGCTCTTTAAGATCTCGTGGCAGTCCTGAAGTTCAACGTTCCTGTGGCCAAGAGTCTTTTGAATGTAATAAATAACCATTTAATAGTCTTACTGCCGTTTGTAAATCAGCCGCTGGATGAAGACCGGTCCCCTCGACGCTGCGTCGGTCATGGGGTTTGTTTTTAACAAATTCTCGCCACGCTGGTCGGTGCGGGTTTTGGTGAAGGGGTGGTGGTGGTTGGAGGTTGATGCGGTGAAATGCAGAACTGGTTCAGATTGCTATTCGCTCGTCGCTGATGTTAGCCGTGGCCGGGGTTCGAACTCGGTTCGCCAGGGGTTCTTGGCGCAATGTGCTAACTACTGTGCTCCGTTGCTTCTCATCCCCCCCCCACCCATATCTTTTACAGAGGTGAAAAAAATCAGTGTCATCAGAAACTGGCATGCATTGGGTAGTGCTCGTAACAGCTGTTGCTGGTCCCCTTAGCCATCGGTGGATATTCAACGTTGCTATGACAAGGGACCAGTGAAACCCAGTCTATTGCAGATAAAGTTAGAGTAGAAATGCGCCGAGATAAAGAAATAGGTTAATTCTTCTCATATCACGTGTTGAATGTGTTATTGTTGAGTCGTGCAGAAAGAACAGCGATTTTGTTGAGTTTTGTAATTAGAGGGCATTAATCAAAGTTACACCTGACGTGGTTATCGCATTCCTAAACAAAACAAGGAGCGTTGTGCCTCTGAAGCCGCACCCAAAGAAATCCGCATCTACTCTCTAGCGTTTCCTTCCAGAGTGCGTGTGTGTATATATATCATTGAGTGTGTGTGCCAGATTGGGTATGTGCACACACGTGCACGTGGGAAGTGTGTGTTTTGTGTGCGAATATGTCTGTATGTAGGTGGGGAGCGGTGGCGCAGCGGTCGGCGTGCTGCGCTACGAGCCCGGCGACCCGAGTTAAATTCCCGCTCACGACCATCAACACCAGTGACTATTATCTGAACCGTTCCTGAGCCTCCGCTAGGTTGACTCTGCCTCAAATGAGTAATTGGTGCGATGTGTAAACATCGTCACTGGGTGGACAAATACAGCCAGGGGTGGTGCTGGCCACCTGCTCCCTCGTGTGCCGTGCCGGCCTTCATAGGTGCTCGTGAACGGCACTTGACCCAACAGCCTATTAAGCCTATTCGAGGCATATTTGTCTTTGCGTAGTTATGAAGATGTACGTGCGAGTGCAATACTTAGCCTGTGCATAATTCACTATCAGCAGCTATGATCTACCCACTGCTGAATGAGGACCTCCCCAATCCGCCGCCGTGTCCCACGGTCTCGCGATGCAGCAATCCGTCGAGCTCTTGCACGTGACGGACTGCTCTCATTGCTCCCATCGCGGGCATGTTCCCTCCTTTGGCTGTCACTTCATCGTCAGTCTCGACCGCCGGCCATCGCCCCTTCCCGGTGACACCGCCCGCTGAAGCCCACTTATTTTCGTAACGGTCAATGTGATGTCTCCCAATCCCACATGTCCGTCTTGTGTCGGATTGCGAACGTGCACCTTTGCGCACATTTCACACCCTTCGTTTCAATGTTTTTTCTTTGTCAACGTGTGGGTGTGTCTGATCCACATTGTCCGTGTGTCGCAGCGGATAACGTACACCGATTACGCCGTTGATCCTCTATGCCCGTAAGTGGCACGTCGCTCTTCACTATCGAGCTCCGTTTGCAGCGTAAAACAAAACGCTAAAACGGCGGCGTTATCTTTCTCGCCCATCGCGCCAGGTGACGTTCACGAAGCGCAAGTTCGGGCTGATGAAGAAGGCCTACGAGCTGAGCGTGCTGTGCGACTGCGAGATCGCGCTGATCATCTTCAACAGCGCCAACAAGCTCTTCCAGTATGCGAGCACCGACATGGACAAGGTGCTGCTCAAGTACACCGAGTACAACGAGCCGCACGAGAGCCGCACCAACTCCGACATTATCGAGGTGCGTCCGCACAGCTGGCGCGGGGGGCACGCGCAAGCTTCTGACTGCCTCCCCCCCCCCACCATTCCTACGATCCCACCCCCCCACCGCCCCTCAACCCCAGTGATCCTTGCCGATGACGATTCTTGTGCTCACGCTTGCTGAACAAGCGTCGTCGCTCTGCTTCACGGAGAGAGAGCAGAATTAACTCAAATGTCAACGGCTGCGCTTATGCGCGGGACAAAGGACAAGTGCGCGTACGCGTGTTTCTGTGTTTGTGCACGTGCGTGGGTGCACGCGCGTGCGTGCGTCGTGTGCCCGAGCGAGCAGCTGCATCGACGAGCGGAGGACAAGGAGCTCGGGTGATTTGTTCTGCCACCGCTAGAGCTCGCGCATGCAGAGGGATGGGAGGGGACTCTCCTCTGTACGCGGGAGGGATAGAAGGGGTGAATGCATCGGTAGGAGGAGAGATGAGAAGGGACGAGGGAAATCTGAAGGGTGGGGGGAGGTGGTGGGGGGGGGGGCGGGTGTGCGGTGGCAGAGGCCGCGTCTTCACTTTGTAGGGGGGCACTTCTCACAATCGTGACAGTGGTGGCGCGTGCGTGCCGGCGCGTGCGTTCGTGCGCGCATGCAGACGGGAGCGGCTGAGAGGGAGGGGCTGGTGGTGACCTCTTGAGTGTAGGTGTGGGAGGGGGGGATTTTGAGGCTAATCTGATGTGTGTACCCGCTGTGTCTATCTCTTCTAACCCCGGCTTTAGCGCTAATACGAGCTCGGAAGGGCACCTTAAGTGGGAAGGTGAGCGGCAGCGTCAATGGTGGTGGGGGGGGGGGGGCATCTGATTTTGCCCGTCTTTATTTTTCTTACCAAACGGTCTGTGACGTTCGCTGGTCAATCTCAATCACAACTTGCCCAGGGTCGGTTCCAGGAAAGCCGCAGTCATTCCTGTCCCGGGTTTCATGTTATTTGTTTCACCGCAGGTAGATGATGAGGCCTTGACGTTTGTCGACGTGTCGAGGGCGCGTTGCGTGAACTGCAAAGATGTTCTGCGCCGCAGAGAAGTTGCGATTCTACGGCTCGAGCATCAGCGTTGTTGAGCCAGTTGTTTCTTCAGCATTTATATTTAAAATTCGGGGTGCCCCAAGAAATGATATCATGCAGAAAAACCTGCATTCGCTAATACGATAATCAATGCAGCCGAACAACCGCATAAATAAACATTTTGACTGAGCTATTGACGTCAAGGAAGAAACTAAATCTAAAAATCCAATACGTAACCGGTCAAACCATATCCATTCTAGGCCCGACTGGCCCATTTAATGTTTTCGCGACACGAACGCGCGGTCAAAGCATTCGGAGGTCAAGAAAAAAACCTTTACGTGGGTGCTATATCATAAGCACAAGCCACATTCTCCCTTGGAATTAATAACGCCAGTTTCCTCCCCCTTTTTAAATTTCTCCTTGGGATTTTTTTTTTCCAACAGGCAACGCTGTTGTGCGCATTCCACTGATAAATGCTTCCCTCCACGTGGCCGTGCTAATTAAAGCCTGCTGGGCAGCTGCGGGCCCCCCCCCCCCCCACTCCCACTGTAAAATTGCTTCTTGGTCGCGTGTCACATTTCAAACGCGGCCGCGAGTGGCGCGGGAGTGTTCGGAGCCTCTGCCGTAATTGTGGTACGAGGCGTTCGGCCTCGCCGTGCCAACGCGCTTGTGTTTTTCGTGTGTTCTCTGGCCTGTGCTCGTGCTCTTCGCGTGCTGCCGCGTCCGTGTATTTGCCGTGAGATTTACGAGTGTGTGTGTGTGTACGGATCGGAACGGTGGGAGTAGCAAGTGGTTAGCGCGGTTGCCTCCGCCTACGAACAACCCCGGCGAATCCAGTTTTATTCGTGCTCACGGCTGTGACAAACGTAGGGCCCGAGTGATCTGTTTCTCAACCGGTCCCTGGTCTCCCATCCAAGTCGTCTCGGCCCCCACAATGAGTATCTGGTGTGGTGTGAAAGCATCGCGGCTGGGAAGACTGGCGGTGTGTGGTGATGGCTACGGTGTCCCCTCGTTCGCTGCGTTGGTCTCGTTCGGTGCTCACTAACAGCCCCTTGCCCCCAATGGTCTGTGTGGCCATGGTGAGAGATATTTGTTTTCATGTCTATAGAATGTAAGCAGCCAGGGTTAGAGGTCACTGTGGCTGAATGCTGTTGATGCCACATCACACTTGCCATTTGATACGTAATTTCTGCTTGGTCATGTAAATGCTAAGCAATTGGCAGGTGCCCTCCAAGTTCTGCCCTTACAGTCTCAATCCATCATATGGTTCAGTTAGGTCGTGCAAAAAAAACAACCAACGACCAATACTACTACCTCAGTTATCTCCACCAGTTTCCGTCAACATCACCACCGTCAGAACTTTTACCACCACCACCACCACCTCTGCCAAAGAAGAATCCATTCAGAAATGACAGAGCATCAGGAGCTGTGGCAAGAGAATGATCCATGCAAGCTTACACGTTAAAATCAGTTTCTAAAAAATATTTCACCGGGAGACCAATTCGCTACGCTTGAGCATCCACTCTAATCATAGGCGTCTAAAAACCCAGACGCGGACACAGGCAGCAACTCGGCGCTCTAGCCTCTGACCCCTGACCCACCCAGCCACCTCTGTGTCATTAGTTAAAAAAGTAACTCTGAGACAACACAGACCTTATCACGAAACAACCACCACTTCGGTAGCCCCACGCAACAAAAACACCACGGTTAAATCCCCCCGAGATCTTCTCGTTAAACTGTCCCCAAGTCTTTTGAGCATGTAAATGATTCAAACCCTCCTCCGTGCTCTCTGTGGCGGTGAGTGCTCAGCACTGAGCACTCTGCACTGAGCCCTCCGCATGGTCGAGGGTCAGACACGTGGTCGGACATCTCTGAAGGCCTGTTTGGGGATAAACCCATTCCTGGCTGAGCTGATTGGTCATCGTGGTCCCCAAGGAAGCATTTGCGCTTAGGCACGAGGGCCAGTAATCTCCTTAAATTGGAACAGCACACAAACGTCGCTGCAAGTTGCTCCGCGCTTTCTGCGCACGCCATGTCAACGTAACCTTTCCCGTCTCGCGCATCGTCGCAAGATTAGACGAATGACTTGGGACGGGCAGGGTTCATTCTTCATTTTCTTACATTGTTGCTTATTTTGGGGGCAAGGTGGGTGGAGTCTGCGATGGGTCGGGTGGGGGGGAAGCGAAATGTAATTAGTGTGAAAGCGTTCTATTTAGCGTCGCACAAAAATGCAACGCCAACGCCGTTTCAAGCTTTGTTGTTTTCCATCTGCTGCATCGACAGCCGCACTTGAAAGTTGTTTCTTGTTTTAAATCTGCTCTGAGGCCTCTGCCAAAAGAGTAATGCGTTTTCTTTAAAGTGTTTTAACTGTCGGCAGAACAAACCTATTTAAAGAGATAAAAACACTTAGGGTTCTTTTTATCAGCCAATCATTTTTTTGGAGGTGGGAGGGGTGGGGGGGGCTCAGGGACATAGCCAAGGGTCCTATCAAGCGTCGTCGTCATCAGCAGCCGTAATCAATCCACTGCTGGACGAATGCCTCCGCAGATTGACACCATCTGCTCAGGGTCTCGCGATGCCACAATCCAGGCTCATTGGCCTATCAAACGGCGTGATTAAAAAGATTTGTTTCGCACGTTACGCGCCTTGGCAATTCCACTTGCTGCCCAACTTAATCTCTATTTTCCTTTGTTTTCGTCGCTGGAAGGACGTATACAGCGCGCGCGCGTGCGTTAAGGCTCGGAATTTTTATAGGTCATGTAACAAGTAATGGTTCGCATGGGAGTCTGCAGGATTGTGGCATCCGATGACGAGAAAAATATTTAGTCTCATTTCACCCCGTGCAAGAGCTGCCCTATTATGTAATTGTATGCCAAAACACGGCGATCAATAGCGTTCTTTCATCCCCCTCGCTGCTGCATTTTTTTTTAAACGCGGGGATTTGGTGCAGGACCGGCGTAGCCGTCGACTAAAAATAGCTGCGGCTGCCCGGCTAAAAATAGCACGGCCCAGACGGGGTGGAAACATACGGAATAACAGCGGGGGGGGGGCGCGTGCTCCGCGTAACCCTGGATACCGCTGATCGGGATGCCTTGAAGGAGACGGAGCAGCGAAATCTGCCGCAAACCCCTCCTGGCGATGGATGGACGGGGGGGGGGGAGGTGGTGAGGGCTATGAAATGGCGTCGCCTGTCTTGCCAGGCCACCGACCGTCTCTGCGGGAACTCCCCTCGTCATCTATTTCTTTCTATTTGCCGAGCCGTTGGCGACCCCCCCCCCCCCCCCCCGATCCTTGCCGTGACCCTGATTGTGTTGCAGGAAGCCCGGGCCGCGTGTACGATTCGGTGCCGGGGATGGGGGGGGGGTAGCGTTCTGGCCGCCGGGTGGTTTCGGTTGGGGGGGGGCAGTGGAGAGGGGGAGTTAGATTCTGGGTGAGGATTGTGCTTTGGTTTTTTCTGCTGTTGCATTTGTGGCTGAAATTGGGCGGCGTTGTTCAGCTGTTCGAACGGACGGAGTGCAAATACGTTGGTGGATGACCACCGTAATTATCGTCAGCGGGGGTTGAGCCATAACCGTGTCGATGACCGAGAATGTATTTCCGCACGCCACGTCCGGTATACCACGCGCTTTGGTTGTGGCGACTGGTCACGTGCCACCTCCCCTGTCTAACATAAATCCCACCTCATTAGCCACGATAAATCCACTGCTGGGTAAAGGTTTCTCAAAAGGCACCGGCGTCTCTTGCGGTCACACGGTGAGCGGTCACTTGGCAGTGCACCCTGAAGACTGTGTATGTCCTGTATGTTGAACTTCTTTCGCACCGTACCCAACGTAGCCAACCGTGCTAATAATAGGAGGTGCGCAGTGGAAGAAATGCGTACAAAATATACGTTTTGGAGCAATCGCTACGTGGACCGGCAGAGGCAAATGAAAATTCTAACCCCCTCCAATGCCGGGTGGACTCTGGCTCTGTGTGGCGTCCG